TTTGCATCCAGCTAGCACTAAATTTCACCCAGCCAGCACCAGATTGCATCATTCAGCAACAACCGGCATACAGCCTGAACCAATTTGCATCCAGCCAGCACCAAATTGCCCACAGTAAGCTCCAACCTGCACCCACCCATCACCAACCTCCACCCAACATGCACATAATGGCATCAAATGTGTTGATGGCTGCGTGCAATTTGGTGATGGCTGGGTGCCGGTTGCTCGTGGTTGGCAAAGTGCACCCAGCCAGCAGCAATCTACATGAGGCCAGCAAAACATTGCACCCGGCCAGCACTAAATGGCATTAAACCAGCACCAAAATGTACCCAGACAGTACCAAACTGCACAGAGGCAGCGCCAAATTGCAGCCAGCAAGCATAAACCTTCACCCAACCAGCACGAACCTCCTGCCAACCAGCACCAAATTGCCCACAAAAGCACCAAATTGCATCCAGCCAGCAACAAATTGCATTCAGCCAGCACCAAATTGCATCCAGCCAGCACCAAATTGCGTCCAGTCAGCACTAAATTGCATCCAGCAGGCACCAAATTGCATCCAGCCAGCACCAAATTGCATCCAGCCAGCACCAAATTGCATCCAGCAAGCACCAAATTGCATCCAGCCTTGACCAAATTGCATCCAGCCAGCACCAAATTGCATCCATCAGGCACCAAATTGCATCCAGCCAGCACCAAATTGCATAAAGCCAGCACCAAATTGCATCCAGCCAGCACCAAATTGCATCCAGCCAGGACCAAATTGCATCCAGCCAGCACCAAATTGCATCCAGCCAGCACCAAATTGCATCCAGCCAGCACCAAATTGCATCCAGCCAGGACCAAATTGCATCCAGCCAGCACCAAATTGCATCCAGCCAGCACCAAATTTCATCCAGTCAGCAACAACCATCATCCAGCCAGCACCAAATTGCATGCAGCTAGCACAGAATTGCATCTAGCCAGCACAAAATTGCACCCAGTCAGCAACAACCAGCACCCAGGCTGAACCAGATTCCATCCAGCCAGAGCCAAATTGCATCCAGCCAGCACCAAATTGCATCCAGCCAGCACCAAATTGCATCCAGTCAGCAACAACCAGCACGCAGCCTGAACCAAATTGCATCCAGCTAGCACAAATTTGCATCCAGCTAGCACTAAATTTCACCCAGCCAGCACCAGATTGCATCATTCAGCAACAACCGGCATACAGCCTGAACCAATTTGCATCCAGCCAGCACCAAATTGCCCACAGTAAGCTCCAACCTGCACCCACCCATCACCAACCTCCACCCAACATGCACCAAATGGCATCAAATGTGTTGATGGCTGCGTGCAATTTGGTGATGGCTGGGTGCCGGTTGCTCGTGGTTGGCAAAGTGCACCCAGCCAGCAACAATCTACATGAGGCCAGCAAAACATTGCACCCGGCCAGCACTAAATGGCATTAAACCAGCACCAAAATGTACCCAGACAGTACCAAACTGCACAGAGGCAGCGCCAAATTGCAGCCAGCAAGCACTAAACTGGCTGGGTGCAGATTAATGTTGACTGGTGCTGGCTGGGTGCAGATAGGTGCTGGCTTGTTGCATGTTGGTGCTGGCTGAGTTCAGGTTGTTGCTGCCTGGATGCAGGTTGGTGCTGGCTGGGGGCTGGTTAGTATTAGTTGGCAAATTGCAACCAGCCTAAATCTAGCCGGCGCCACATTGCACCCAGCTAGCACCAAAGTGCATCCAGCCAGCACCAAATTGCACCCAGCCAACACCAAGCTGCACACAGCATGCACGAAATGGCATCCAATTTGCTGATGGCTGCGTGCAAATCTGTGCTGGCTGGGTGCAGGTTGGTGCTCAGCACCAAACTGCACCCAGCCAGCACCAAACTGCACCCAGCCAGCACCAAACTGCACGCAGTTAGCAACAACCTTCACACAGCCTGAACCAAACTGCATCCAGCCAGTACCTAATTGCACCCAGCTAGCAACAAATTGGACGTAGCCATCGACACATTGGATGCCATTTGGTGCAAGCTAGGTGCAGGTTGGTGCTTTTGTGGGCAATTTGGTGCTGGTTGGCAGGAGGTTCGTGCTGGTTGGGTAAAGGTTTATGCTGGCTGGGTGCGAGTTAGTGCTAACTGGATGCAGGTTGGCGCAGGCTGCGTACAGGATGGTGGTGGCTGGAGTCTGGTTAGTAATAGTTGGCATTTTACAACCAGCCTACACCCAGCCCGCACCACATTGCACCCAGCCAGCACGAAATTGTACCCAGTAAGCAACAACATGCACCCAGCCTGAACCAAATTGCAGCCAGCCAGCATCAAATTTCACCCAGCCGGCACCAAATTGCACTCAGCCAGCTACAACCTGCAACCAGTCTGAACCAAATTGCATCCAGGCAGCACCAAATTGCATCCAGCCAGCACCAATTTGCATCCAGTCAGCACAAAATTGCACCCAGCCAGCAACAACCTGCACCCAGCCAGGACCAATCTGCATCCAGCCAGCACCAAATTGCATCCAGCCAGCACCAAATTGCATCCAGCCAGCACCAAATTGCATCCAGCCAGCACCAAATTGACCCAGCCAGCACCAAATTGCGTCCAGCCAGCACCAAATTGCAACTCAGTCAGCAACAACCAGCACCCAGGCTGAACCAAATTGCATCCAGCCAGCACTAAATCACATCCAGCCAGCACCAAATTGCATCCAGCCAGCAGCAAATTGCATCCAGCCAGCACCAAATTGCATTCAGCCAGAACCAAATTGCGTCCAGCCAGCACCAAATTGCATCCAGCCAGCACCAAATTGCACCTAGTCAGCACCAAATTGCACCTAGTCAGCACCAAATTGCACCCAGCCAGCAACAACCTGCACCCAGCCTGGACCAAACTGCATCCAGCCAGCACCAAATTGCATCCAGCCAGCACCAAATTGCATCCAACCAGCACCAAATTGCGTCAAGCGAGCACCAAATTGCATCCAGCCAGAACCAAATTGCATCCAGCCAGTACCAAATTGCATCCAGCCAGCACCAAATTGCACCAATCAGCAACAACCATCACCCAGGATGAACCAAATTGCATCCAGCCAGCACTGAATTGCATCAAGCCAGCACCAAATGGCATCTAGCCAGCACCAAATTGCATCCAACCAGCACCAAATTGCATCTAGCCAGCACCAAATTGCATTCAGCCAGCACAAAATTGCGTCCAACCAGCACCAAATTGCATCCAGCCAGCACCAAATTGCATCCAGCCAGCACCAAATTGCACCCAGTCAGCAACAACCAGCACCCAGGTGAACCATATTGCATCCAGCCAACAACAAATTGCATCTAGTCAGCAACAAGCAGCACCCAGCCTGAACCAAATTGCATCAAGCTAGCACCAAATTGCATCCAGCCTCACCAAATTTCACCCAGCCAGCACCAGATTGCACTAGACAGCAACAACCTGCACACAGCCTGAACCAAATTGCATCCAGCCAGCACCAAACTGCACCCAGCCAGCACCAAACTGCACCCAGCCAGCACCAAACTGCACGCAGTTAGCAACAACCTTCACACAGCCTGAACCAAACTGCATCCAGCCAGCACCAAATTGCCCACAATAAGCTCCAAACTGCACCCACCCATTACCAACCTCCACTCAGCATGCACCAAATGGCATCAATGGCAGTTGGGTGGTGGCTTGTTGCATGTTGGTGCTGGCTGAGTGCAGGTTGTTGCTGCCTGGATGCAGGCTGGTGCTGGCTGGGTTCAGGATAGTGCTGGCTGGGGGCTGGTTAGTAATGGTTGGCAAATTGCAACCAGCCTACACCCAGCCGGCACCAAATGGCTTCCAGCCAGCACCAAATTGCATCCAGCCAGCATAAAGCTACACCCCTCCTAAAGCAGATTTCATCCAGCCAGCATGAAATTGCACCCAGCAAGCACCAAATTGCAGCTAGAGCCACAAATTATACCCAGCCAGCACCGGGGGGAGGGGTGGGGGGGATTGTGTTAGACCAAGTTTGTCGATGTTTTTGTAGTGTTCAAAGCGCTGCCGCGTTGAAAAAAGAACACGCGATATCAACGGTATTGCGGAAAACCACCGGCACTTTAAGGCAAATAAGCGTGGCTCAAGGTCGACCAATCAGAAGTGAGCTAGGCTGAAGGTGGAGCAATCAGAAGTGAGCTAGTATGTAAGATTGAGTAAATGAGGAGACAAACGTCAAACTAACATAAATGGCTAAGCATTGCACACACCACCAAGAGCCCTAAAAAGGACACCTTCGGTGTGAATGGGAGACAGACACAAATACTGTGCCGACCGGCGACGAGCCAGTGGACGACCCAGCCGCTGATGAGATTGATGCTGCGAAGAATATCTGCAGCCCTGAGTGTCCCTGGACAACGGACAGTATCCAGGAGAGATACTCTCGCTGGCTGTTGAATAGGGAGACGGACGTAATGTGGGCTTGTCATGAATGCTGTAATGCCGAATCACACAAACCTAGATCTCTTAAAGGAAGGAGACCCCGGCGTGCAGACTGCTCGGCCCACATCTCGTCTCTAAGACCAACAATAGTACAGTTAAAAAAAAAGAGCTTTTCACTTTACAAACGAATCGCCTATATGGTGTCACGTTGATATTTTGTATAGACCAGGTGACAAACAAGTTCTTTGGTCGTGTGATGAGAAAAGGAGCACTATAAAATATTGTGACGACTGGAAATGATCATTGGTAGAAGAGGCAGAGGCAGACCAAGAGAAATGATAGTGAAAAGCTTAAGATAGTGCCATGGAGGAATATTATCAGTGGAATCCAGAACACTAAGGACCGAGATCTGTGGAGATGCGTGCACACCCGCTGGTAAGGCACTTTATGACGAAGATGATGATGATGATAAACCAGTCGACCCTCCTTGAATGAAGTGGTCAGCATCACACTAGCCGCTTTTACATGTTACCCACCAAAATTAGAACCTAAACGGTAATAATCGCGTTCTTTTCTTCTCACAGATGTGCCGGGATGAACTGATCATGTACTTAGCAGACATCCAGCCCAGCAAGTGGTCTACCGAAGCCAAATCTGCCTGGAAGACAATGGTAGACGCCATTACTACCCTTGGCACCAAAGGATGGCAACATCCATCTGATGGCCTGAGCATAAGGAAAACGGTTTCATCTAGTACATGCTGAAGTTTATTCCTAGATATTGATTGGCACATTTTATGCCAGTATTTCCTGTTTATCGCTCCGTGAAATTCATAGGGTCCGTGGTATTTAAAGAAATAAAAAAAAAATTAACTGTAGAATGTAATCATTTTTGCAGTTCTCATATTTATTTTTGTGTGAATTATACACAAAAAAGCCTCACATTTGCAGAACCGGTCAGTCTATCTGCCTGCTCATTTCCCAACACATTGGCATGACCTGGAGAGAATATCCAAAGGACGCTAACTATCCGGGACCTCTGAAGTGATGCTTGCCACTCTGCACGGAGCTAAAAAAAACCGAAGAGATAACTGGGAGCCACTGCTTTGTGCAAAATGATTTGTGGCTTTGTTTAGTGGGGAGCCTTCGTGGTGTAGCAGCTAGAGGCTCGCCTGCGGATCGGAAGGTCTTGGGTTTTGGTGGTGGTGGATTTTTTCCGAAAGTGACCTTGTCTCCCAGGTCGACCCAACCTTGAGTGGGTATGAGGTATAATCCCGGTAAGTAAAGGCGGTCGACGTGGTGCTGGTCACATCACCCACCGAATGAGATTGGTCTATACAATTTAGGTATAGCCCTATATGCCCAATACACCTGAAGGTGGTGAAAGGATCCTTTACTTTTTACTTTACTTAACGTTTAGTTAGTGAAATGATTCACAATACAAGCGTCGACGTACTAGGGTGAGGATTTTCATTGCAAGCAGTTTAAAATAAAAAATTACTTCAGTAGCTATAGGGGAAAGGTAGAGACTCTCACAATGGAAGAGATTGGAGCTTCATCACCAAATACTGTAGATAAACTCTCAATTGGGAGACGGTATCACAATATTTTTTTTCATACTAAATATTTGTGAACGTTAAAATTTCAACACTGGTGTCTTGTTGATCGTTCGTCAAACTATACGCATGTCCATAAAGCCATGAAGTTGATTTGTTCTTGTAGGAGATTCCGGTGTCATAAGGCTGTGGGCCAGTGGCTCTCAACCTTCCTAATGCTACGACCCTTTAAAACAGTTCCTTATATTGTGGCGACCTCCAACCATACAAATTATTTTCGGTGAATATGTGTTTTCCGATGGTCGTTATCGACCCCTGTGAAAGGGTCGTTCGAAAGCCTAAAGTGTCGCGACCCACAGGTGGAGAACCGCTGCTGTAGGTTGTCGTGAGGCGCCGGTTTAAATCTCGACATTGCAACAATAACTAAAACATTTATATTGTCTCATTTTCATGTCATCGTTTTTCCTGTACTTCTATGAGTGCCAATCATTACATGTTAATGAATACCACATTGTTTTTCAGTGGCGATATAAAATGTAAAGAACCCTTTCCCATGCCTTCATGCGTATCGGGCATATAGGGCTAGACCTATATTATATAGACCATAAATAACTTTTAGGGTTGGTTTAACCAAGGAGAAAAAAAAAGGTAGTTTATATCTTTTCAGGACGTTGCAGAAGCAGCCCCCAGATTTTTATTGACTGTTATGGTTTGCTAGGCAACCTTTTGTTCAGTAGTTAGTCATTACTTTTTGAATCGATTCTCGGTACCACTGTCAACACCAACGCAAGACGGTCTGCTGTCACATCGCCAGCAGCTGGGATCGGACCCGGCATCACGAATACCCTTCGCAATGCCTAAACCGCAGGCTAAACAGAGAGCAAGTACCTTGCCAGCGAGCGCAGGCATTCATGCATCTCCAGAAATCTCGGTTTGGCGTGGATCAGTTCCACTAACGATATTCCTCCATGCCACTGTCTTAAGCCATCCACCATTCGGATAATGTCTGCTCGGTGTGCTGACTGGTTGCTAGGGGTTATTCATATGTAAGACATAGATGACATTTTGAATGCACACAGTTGGTAACGAGTAGATGATGTCCAGTTAATATTCTTCACTACAGTTTCACAGATGATCTGGTCCGGTCAGTGTCTACTAATAACTAGCATGTCCAGAAAGTTAAGATGACATTTATCAGACACCAACTTGACGTCCTCTCTCTTCCACACTCGTTACCTTTCAGTCCTGTTTCCTTACACACGTAATACACACAATGTTTGATCCAGCAGCTCTGATCATGGCAGTTCGACTTCTTGGCCGGTTGGAACTTGTTGGCTACCACTTCAGATTAGGCTGTCATCAAGCTGTCGTCTTGCAGTAATCTAATGGAACAGAAACTCCTTCACGTCCTCAAATATACACTGTCAGATTCAAGCGTCCATCAGATACAACCGTTCACGCCAGCTACCAAACACATACTAACTGATTAGACCTTGGTCTTAGCTTATAACCCTCGTTCTGGGTTTTCAC